CAGGACCCAAGTTTCCACTGACGCCTGGGCCTGCCACGTGGGGGTGTACAGGTAGCTGTTAACTGTCGCCCCCACCAAAGGCGGCCCGTCCTCGCCGCCTGTAACCTCAACACGAATGCGGGTCAGCAGTCCACACTGGTTGTGAGTATGCACTTCCTGGGAAATGATGACCGAAGAGGCTGGTCCTGTGTGTGTGAAGGGAAGCAGATGTGCAACTGTCCCTCTGAAACCACGCTGGAGAGAGCCAGTCAGCTGTCAGACAGACAGCGTCGTATCAGGTTACCAGGCAACTGTAGGCAACAAATACTTGTGAGTCTGGGAGGAAGGGGTGAGCAAATCAGACTTTTCCTAAACATCCTCATCACTTTCCATCATAAGAGCCCATCCCCATGTGCTCTCGTGTCCTGGGCTATCTCACTTGGCCTGAGTCTTGTATCGCTCTCCATTGTGGCCAAGTGCTCTGGGGCCAGGCTGCCCAAGTTCTAGCTAGTGTGTGACCATCGGTAATTTATACCCCCCGGGCCTCAGTTTGCTCTTCTCTAAAGTGGGGACAAAAGCCTGGCCAGCATGGCTCAGTGGTTGAGTGTTGACCTATGAACCAGGAGGTCACGGTTCAATTCCCAGTCACAAGAATAAACTCTGTCTTTTGTGTACTCACAACGGTAACCCTACTACCGACCCCCCCCCCCCCGCTTTCTTCCTCCTCTGGGTCAGCTCTGTAAGTTGTCCCCATCTTGTCACTGTAACCGTTCCCTAAAAAGCTCGGCTACTGACGGGCCCTTCTTGCTGTGGCCGAGTTCAGTGCCCTTTGAGGCATCTCCTTGTTTTGCACACAGAGGAGGTTTGGCTTGTTAAGTCAGTCACCACCCAGCCATGGAAGGTTCTCACGTCTTCCATGTAAACATATAATGTTCTTACGATTTCTCATGTTCTGGGTGGACCCTGAGGGCATTATGTTAAGTGAACTGAGTCAGTCAGAGAAGGACAGATACTGTATAATGTTACGCATACTGTATGTGGAATCTAAAAAACCCAAACTCATAGAAACAGGGAATAGATTGATGGTTTCCAGGGTCTGGGGGGCTGGGGGAGTGGTTGGTCAAAGGGTACAGACTTCCAGCGATACAGTGAGTAAGTTCCGGGCATCTAATGTGCAGCATGGTGACCAGTTAACAATATACCGTAATATACTTGAAAGTTGCTAAGACAGTAAGTACATCTTAAATGTTCTCCCCACAGAAAGGAAGTGGTGATTATGTGAGGTGATGGAGGTGTTAACTAACCCAGCTGTGGGAGTCATTTTGCAATATATAAGTGCATCAGATGATCACACCGTACAGCTTAAGTGCACACAATGTTATATGTCAATTTATATCTTAATAAAGCTGTGTGTGTGTGTGGGGGGGATTCCTCATGTCCTGTTTTCAGAACAGCTTCATTGGAGTATAATTCAGATATCTCCCAGTTCGCCCATTCAAGGTACACGATGCAGGGGCTTTGGGTATATTCACAGAGTTATGCGTCCGTCAGCACAATATTAGAACATTTCCACTACTCCTCTCGATGCCCCCATCACACCCCCAAAACCCAGGAGAAGACTAACCTACTTTCTGCCTATTGATCCGTCTGTTCTGGATATTTTATTTAATTTTATTATTTTTTAATCTTCACCCGAGGATATTTTTCCATTGATTTTTAGAGAGAGTGGAAGAGAGAGGGAAAGACAGAGAGAAATCGATGCAGGCTTCTCCCCTGATGAGGTCCCTTGACCGGAATCGAAGCCGGGACACTTCAGTCCTCAGGCCGACGCTCTATCCACTAAGCCAAACCAGCTAGGGCTGTTCTGGATATTTTATAGAAACAGAATCAACCATACAACTTGTGGCCTTCTGTGTCTGGCTCTTCACTTGGCACACTGGGAGCGTCCGGGTCGTAACAGGTGTCAGAACTTCATTCCTTTGAAGGCTGGAGAATCTATTATGTGAATATACCACATTTTGTTTGTCCACTTGTCAGTTGACAGTCTTAGGGGTTGTTCTTTATTTTTTTTAACCTGTTGTTACAAATTTTTAGAGAGAGAGAGGAAGGGAGAGGGAGAAATATCAATGAAAGAGAATCATCTATCCGCTGCCTCCTGCGCGCCCCCTCCTGGGGATTGAGGTCGCAACCAGAGCATGTGCCGTGATGGGGAATCGAACCGGTGACCTCTTGCTGCAGGGGATGCCTGCTGAACCAACTGAGCCACACCAGCTAGGCCTCTGTACGTTCTTTTCGATGCATCAAGTCCCGGCTCTCTGCCTGCGATGCCTTTCCATTCCCAATCATTTTTTGAGGAGGAGAGGCATTTGTATCGTTTCTCTCTCAGCCTGAAATTACTTCTTGGTTTGCTTGTGAAGGTAACACCTGCTCAGACATTGTGTTCTGAATCCCATAATAAAATTAAGGGTTGGTATTAAACACACACACAAAACAGTCTACAAGACCTGCCAGAAGAAATGATTCAGACTGTAGTTTCTTTTTTCTTCTGTGTAATTATTTAGGCTCTAACAATTCGCTCAGTTTAGATGAGTGCTCCCCCGGCTGAGGATAAAGTAAAGTTTTCCCTCAGGAGGAAGAATGTTATGAGCGAAGAACAAAAATACATTAGGATTTTAGCAGAGGAGCACACCAGGCAAGGATTCTTTCTTACCAGGATCCGGTGGCACCTAATGAGGTTGCCCTCATTTCACCCTTTCCTGCTGGAGGCTGGTTTCTCCCAGGCCTGGTGCATCGCCCATGGAGATGCTGCCAGTTAGGCCCAGGTGGAACTAAGTTCGCAAATGTCTCTGAAGGTTTGTCAGTGGTTTTCAGGGTCTCTGGTGTTGCGTGTAGGATGAGGTCAGAGGGAATAGTCGGGATGCGGTGGGGTCAAGGGCAGGCCCAGGTGCTGGGATGAATTGTTCAGCTTTGAGTCTAGCGTGCCAGGCGGTGAGCCTCCGGCGTGCGGTGCGGAGTGATTTTGCCGGGATCTGTGTTGTTGGGGTTTCCAGTGCTGACTCATGTGTCGCTTCCTTAAATGCCTGCCCTGAGGCAGTCCTTCTGGAAATCTCTGTGGCGTGGTACAGATGCCCTTCCCTCCTGACTGCTCGCTAAATTCTCTTCTGGGCCGTAGGGTCCAGTTCAGAGCAGGCAAGTTAGCATGCCCTAATGTAACCACAGGGAAGGAAAAAAAGAGTTACATTCCAAACTAGGACTGTAAAAGGAACATCAAAATTGAATTGAATTTCACCTCTCTTGTATCTTGGAAAGTTGCTGAGAGAGCAGATCTTACAAGTTCTCATCACCAGGATAACTAATTTTGTGACTACGTGTGGTGAGGGCTGTTAACTAGACTTGTGGTGATCATTTAGCAGAATGTGCAGATATCAGATCATGTTGGGCCCTTGACAGTAAGTACGTCTGAAATGTTCTCCCCACAAAAAGGAAGTGGTGATTTGTATGTTATATGTCAGCTATAGCTCAATTTAAAACAAGATTTATCTCTACTGTGGGGTTCTTTGATTCCCCCAAATGTGTGTGGGAATGTGAAAGAGCCTGGGCTTTCGCATGAGTAGACCTTGGTGGTTCTTGGGCAGAGAACTCCCCACCTCTCAGCTCAGGTGATAGGGATGAAACCTTCCACCCCACAAGAGGGTCAGTGTGAGAGCAACTGAGGTAGCTTGTGTCCAACACCGGGACAGAGGGGGCACCCATAGGAGCTCCTTCTAAAGCTCTTCTCCCCCAAATGGTTCCTTTTAGCCTTCACTCATACTCAAGTTTTAGGAGGAGCCATTTGTAAGGAAACCGAGTCCTTTCCCACGGGACGGCGCTGCTAGCTCCCAGTGCTGGAGGGAGACCACCTCTGTCTCCCTTGAGCACCTCGGACCCCCGTGAGCATTTGAGAGAGGTTTGCTACTGTTCCGATTTAGCACAGCTTTTAATAGGAAGACCGTTCTCCCAAAGGGGCAGGAAGACGTTTGCAGTGATTATTGGTTTACGTTTAAACCCTCGTGTGTTTGGACGGGAGCCATACACCGAAGAGCCAGAAGCAGGTACTAGCAACTTAGAATACGGGATGAATGCCGCAAATATCAAAGCAGACAATTTGCTTCCCCCCAGCGGCTCTCTTGGCAGACAATTTAAAAAGGAAGAAATGGCTGCATGATTTAAGAAAACATTGTGGGGTTTGGTGATAATAACTTACGTTTCCATAATGCCTTCCAGCGTACGGAATGCTTTCCCATTATTATTTCATTGAATTCTCACGAGTCCCAGAGGTAGGTAAGACAATACTGTATTATGGTGAAGGAAACGCTGTCTCTACCACGTACCTACCACGTGGCTGTGTGGGTTATGTAAGCGCTCTGAGCTTACTTTCCTAAGTTTTAAAATGGGAGTTTAATAATACCGTCCTCTGAGGAGTGCTGTGCAGATATATGAGATAATGCATGAGCAGTGCCAGCTGCAGAGTAAGTGCTCAATAAGTGGCAGCTGTTGTTGCATTTAGGTCGAGGAAACACAGGTGAGGAAACACAATCAATTTGCCGACGATCAAACCGTTAGTAACTGGCCAAACCTGAAGGCAAACCTGATTCTGTCCCCAACGTTAGTCCTCTCTGCGGACAACGTAGCCAGGCTGTGGGAGTCAGAGTATTCAACATAATCCCATTCTTTTTTTTTTCTTTCTTTTTTTAAAAATATATTTTTATTGATTTCAGAGAGAAGGGGGGGAGAGAGAGAGAGAGAAACATCAATGAGAGAGAATCATTGATTGGCTGCCTCCTGCACGCCCCCCACTGGGGATCGAGCCCACAACCTGGGCATGTGCCCTTGTCCGGAATCGAACCCGGGAGTCCACAGGCCAACGCTCAATCCACTGAGCCAAACCAGCCAGGGCCAGCACAGTCCCATTCTGAGGAAGCCCTTCCTCCATTTCGCTGGGGCACTGACCTTTCCGATGTCTCCTTTTGTGTGATCCACAGAACATCATCAAGAAGGTGATTGGGCAGAAGTTTGTGTACAAGTTTGTCTCCTTCCCGGAGATCCTGAAAATGGACCCCCACGCCGTGGAGATCAGCCGGGAGAGCCTGCTGCTGCAGGACAGGGACTGCAAGGCGCCGCCCGAGGGCCGCGAGGCGCACAGACACGGCCTGTCAGCCCTCAAGAGCACCAGCCGCAACGAGTACATCCACTCAGGCCTGTACTCGTCCTTCACCATTAACTCCCTGCAGAACCCACCCGAGCCCTTCAAGGCCATCAAGACGGAGAAGCTGGAGGAGCCGCCGGAGGACAGCCCTCCCGTGGAAGAAGTCAGGACTGTCATCAGGTTTGTCACCAATAAAACCGACAAGCACATCAGCAGGCCCGTGGTGTCCCTGCCCTCCACGTCTGAGGCCTTCCTGGCCTCGTCCGTCTCCGCCAAGATCTCCTCTTTAATGCTGCCAAACGCCGCCAGCATCTCGTCCGCCTCACCCTCCTCCTCTCGGTCCCCATCCCTGTCCCCCAACTCGCCCCTCCCCTCTGAACACAGAAGCCTCTTCCTGGAGGCCGCCTGCCATGACTCGGATTCCCTGGAGCCCTTGAACCTGTCATCGGGCTCCAAGACCAGGTCTCCATCTCTCCCCCCCAAAGCCAAAAAACCCAAAGGCTTGGAGATCTCCGCGCCTCCGCTGTTGCTCTCCGGCACCGATATTGGCTCCATCGCCCTCAACAGCCCGGCCCTGCCCTCAGGATCCCTCACCCCAGCCTTCTTCACCGCACAGGTAAGAGCCGCGCCAGACTCGGCTCAGCAGACGGAAAGGAAGGGCCACCAGACCACCTTCCTTCTGCCTTGAAGGGATAATCCGAGGGCCCGTGTGACAAAGTCCTGTGTGAATGTGAAGGGAAGTTACTTTCCCACCCCCAGACCAAGGTATCCACAGGAGAAAAGGCGGGAGATGGGCTACAGGGGGATGCTTGGTTGGTTTCTTGCTCTTTGTGGCCCTTGGAGCAGGTCCAGTGATGTCCTGGAGAAGGTGGAACGGGCCAAGTGACACTTGAGAAGGCATTGGGGCTTTACGAGATTTTTATGCCAGCGTCCCCTCTGGTGGGGAACTTGATAAGTAGCCGTTTGTTCTCTGTTGATGAGAAAATAGATGTAGCCCTAGCCGGTTTGGCTCAGTGCATAGAGCGTCGGCCTGCGGACCAAAGGGTCCCGGGTTCAATTCCAGTCAAGGGCACGTACCGAGGTTGCAGGCTCCTCCCTGGCCTGTGCCCTGGTCAGGGCGTGTGCAGGAGGCAAACAATCGATGCGTTTCTCTCACATCGATATTTCTCTCTGTCTTTCCCTCTCTCTTCCACTCTATCTAAATCAATAGAAAAATATCCTCAGGTGAGGATTAAAAAATACATATATATATATTAACTGTTGCGGCCCCTGCGATGGTCAGCATGGAGCTGTGGGTCCTGTGGTCCCTTATAAGTACTAACAGTCAGGATGACAAGGGCCAGCCCAGCATTGAGAGGAAGAGTCAGGGAGAGCAGAGCTACCGTGAGGAAGCCCAGGTCCGTGTCCGGAGGGAGAAGACAGCAGACGTGTGGAGCAGGGACGTCTGCGGCGAGAGTAACTCGAAGGAGAAGGCAGATGCTCTTTCTTGTCCTGCTGGCAGTTGCCGGGCAAAGGCAAAGCATGTGCCTGGTGTTTTCTGCTTCCTCTGGGAAACTGGGTGCGTTTTGGCTTCGGGGTCACAGACCTGGGTTGCGTTCCTGGCTGGGCCGTGTGGTGGAATGTGACTGAGCCTGTTTGCACGTCTGTGAAATGCGTTACTGTGAGGACTGGATGGGAGAACGAGAGCTAGCTACAGCTGGCAGGTGTTGTCGTCATGGAGCTTTGTGGCACCAGGTGGGGGACATGCTTTTGGGGGGCGGGAGCAGGAACTCTGTCTCCTGCCTCTACTCATCGCCGTGATGTCCTTGCTGGCGTGAGCAGCAGCAGCAGCATCCTATATTGGAGTTTTCTCGTGGGCCAGGCACTAAACACTTCGCATGCGCTGCCTTGGCTATTTTTCAGCCCCATGAAGTAGACACTGTTATTGCCCCGTTTTCCCAGCTGAGGTACCTGAGGCACAGGGCTGGAGTAATTTGTCCAAGGTTGCACAGCTAATAGGTGGTAGAAGCGAATTTGAAGCCTGTTAGTCTGCTCCGGAATCCGTGCTCTGGACATTGGTACTCACCGGGAAAATGCCCAGTTGTCCTTGATCATAACAGTCTGCACAGCATCTGCAAGCAGCTCTTTCCATTCTCCTCTCCATGGCTTCTCCCCGCCACATTGGGGGCCAGGGATTTGGTGTCAGCTCAAGCTTGTGAGCCGGTGCTAAGGAGGCTGCCCCCCTGGAGGGGAGAGCTAAGGCAGTTACTGGGCAGAATTGTGCTCTTCCATCGGGCATTTTCCAATCAAGCAAAACTGTCCGGTGGCTAAGAACGGCTGAGTAAATGCCTCGGAAACAGTGGCCTGAAGTCGCTCCGAGAAGTAACGTGAGAAGCGGGGCAGGGTGGACATTCTAGAGATCCCCTCCCCTGGCCGACTTTGTGTTTACAATGTAAGGTTTAGAGAGGCCTCCAGCCAGGCCAAGGCCAACTCTGATTTCGGTATCTGCTTTCCTGAGCACCCGCTCACTGTCCCCGAACAGACTGGGACGGTTGCCAGCCCTGCAGTCATCTCGGAGGCAGTCGGCTCAGGCGAGCCCTGTGGTTTTGGGCCTGGACACTGAATGTAGGGGGGTGGGGGCGCTCCACTCTGTGGGATGAAGGATGGTCTGGCTGGGCTGGTGAGAGGAGGAGGGGGCCTCGACTTGAGAGGGGGCAGACGGTGGATGCAAAGCTCAGGATGGGCAGAGCGATCCTTCTAGAAATGGCCTAAAACCAGGGCAAGAAAGCCAGATGACCTGTGTCTAGGGCAGATGGGAGTGAACAGTCCTCAGCCAACCTGTGAGGGTTCACGCTGTGAAGTGTGAGTGAGCAGCAGGAGTCCTAGAAGTGGGACCTGGGCTTCCCGAAGGATGGAGGCAAAGGGCCAGGTCTGAACCAGGACAGGACAGGAGTGGAAGTGGGGCCTGGGCTGAAAGGGCCTGTGGATGGGGTAGAGTGTGAAGAAAGCACAGCACATAGTGCTCTGAACAGGGTCAGGGGAGTCAAGGACTGCCTTTGGGTGATGGCACATCTGAGGACTTGACATCCCCTCACCTTCCAGCAGGGTCAGCTCTGCCCCTGGCATGGGTGTATGTGACAGGAGGGAGAGAAAAGCAGAGCAGAGAAAGGGTGGGGCTCCAGCATCGGGGACGTCCACCCAGCTGGTTTCTCTGAGATCAGCCGGGACTGTCATGGAATTTTAGCTTAAAAAATACCCCCCCCCCCAATTAGTTTACATTGAATCTTATTTTGTATTAGTTGCAGCTGTAGTGACAAGCTTCAGGGCTTTGAGGATTTGGGGAGGTGGGGGCTGAGTCAGTGCAGGATTTGGATCGGGGGGGCTGAGTCAGTGCAGGATTTGGATCCCCAGTGGACAGAGCAGCATCTGCTCTGAGGAGCCCACATGCTGCAGAAGGCTACCGGCCACAGCCCGGGAGGACCCATTTTCCTGGGGCAGGAGTGAGACTTCGCTTTGCTCTCGGGCTGCTCTGGGGTTCCCTCTCCACCTGAGGGGGGCTTGGAGCCTTCCTCCCACAGGCACAGTGACTTCTCACTCCCACAGCTCAGATAGGAACTTGAGCACTTTGCCTCCCAGAAACCCTGCTCCCTTCTGTGTGCTGTGCAGCTTGACAGTTTGCTCACCTATAGAACCTCCTATAAACTTTAACAGTTGGCCTTAGAAGAGGTGAAAGCTGTGCTGTAACAATTTCATACCCTGAAAGTGAAATTCCCAAGAATTTAGTTTATTCCAAGAACTACTTACTTTTATTTATTTATTATTTATATTTTACTTCTTTATTCTAAGAATAATTCCCAATTATTTTCAGCTGGAAACATGGGAGGATGAGGGAGGTAGGATTAGGAGGAAGGGTTAGGATTAGGAGAGTCCTGGCATGACCTGGGTCTTGTAGTTACAGTGCCCTCTGGGGACCTTATTAAACCACATACCTTGTATAAGCTTCAATTCAGATTTGAAATTTCATCTGCAAAATGATGTGAGTGAAAATCATCAGCCGACCCCCAACACCGTCGCCTACCCAACACCATAACCTCCCCAACACCATCGCCTCCCCCAACACCATTGCCTCCCCAACACCATAACCTCCCTCAACACCATCGCCTTCCCCAACACCATAACCTCCCTCAATACCATCGCCTCCCCAACACCATAACCTCCCTCAATACCATCGCCTCCCCAACACCATCGCCTCCCCAACACCATAACCTCCCCAACACCATCGCCTTCCCCAACACCATAACCTCCCTCAACACCATCGCCTTCCCCAACACCATAACCTCCCTCAACACCATCGCCTCCCCCAACGCCATTGCCTTCCCAACACCATCGCCTCCCCCAACACCATTGCCTCCTCCAACACCATAACCTCCCCAACACCATTGCCTCCCCAACATCATAACCACCCTTAACACCATCACCCCCCTCAACACCATTGCCTCCCCAACACCATAACCTCCTTAACACCATCACCTCCCTTCCCATTGAAAATACTTGTGGGGCATCTGCTGGGACCTGTATGAAGTACAGTTGAGATGACTCTTGTATATTATGAGTGTTGAAGAAACCAGATTACTAATGTAGACAGACATGATGATCCCCCAAAGGCACTTTAAGCATGGACTATGGGGAACTGAAAAAGGGGAATTCAAAAGCCAGCTGGGCACCAAGGAGCTTAGCTGCCAAGGGGAATGGCTGCCAGAGTATCAAGGTCATATTGGACTGTGGCTAGAGGAGCAAGAGTGTTATCTCAGATGGCATGAGCCACAGACCGAGACGGGGAGCAGCCAGGCTGTGAAACCCTCCTGGCTCCTAGCCAGGTACCATGCAAGCCCAAGCGGTGCCAGCAGGAGCTTCTGATCCTCTGTATCTTCTGCACCTTGTGGCGTCTGCCCCTCTTCCTTCCATTCGCCTCTTCTGTTTGCTCTCTTCATCTAACAATGTGGAGTTGGTTCAGAATCAGAGGCCGGCACATTGCATTGCTCTTCTGGTATGCCCAGACCTCTGTTCCTCTCACGTGTGATGTTTAAGATGCTCAGCTCAGATATGTGCAGGCACTGGGGCTTGAACTTACCCTGAATCTGAGCGTGCATGCCCCAGGCTGTTAGCTTCAGACCTGGATTAGCACCAACTGAGTGGAGCCAGTTGGCCGAGGACTGAAATGCTGAAACCCTCCTCCTGCATTTACTGGTGGGTGTAACAACTTTGAGCTCAAGTCATAAGGTGGGAATTAAGAAAAATGCATGTGTGTGTTGAGGAGCGATCAGGGTAGAGTACATCCTAGCCCAGCCCTGGGGCGTTTCTCATCTTATTGTCTATCTTGCCATTATCACAGAAGCATAAAAGGGGTTCTTCTCTCTCTCTCTTAACATTTCTGCCCAGCCTGCTGCCTTGTCACACTGACCTGACTGCAGAGATTGTCTTCCAGGAGCTTCCCATTGGAAGATGTCACTGGGAGTTTTGTGTGACTTGACATGCTTGTTGAAGGTTGCTTCCTCAGGCTTTGGGCTCCCTCTTTCCACCTGGGACCCATCCTCTCTCCCTTTCTACCTGGGACCCATCTCCATCTCCTCACCCTCTTCCCACCTGGGACCCATCTCTCCCTCTTTCCCCTTGAGACCTATACCCTCTCCCTTCTCCTTCATGGTTCTCCTACCTCTTTCCGCTCCTGCCCTTACTCCTCTGTTTCCCTTACCACTTACTCTACCTGCCCTAGCCCCTCACGGAATTCTCCATCTTGACCCCCTTTCCTTACGATGAGTACCACTCATTCAGTACCACACACTCTGCTGTGTGATTCTGCTTCTCTTTTACAGGCTTTAAAACCACATTTTTATTTGAATTCAGGCAACTCTAGGAGTTTAAAAAGGTGGTTATAAAGTGTTTCAAGGATTCAGAAACAAGAGAAGTGCCACCTGGTCGAGGGGAGAGCAGGGGAGTCTCCCACGAGGTGCTGGCACTTTGATGGGCAGAGGGAGGCAGGGGTAGGAAGGAGGAGATCTGAGGGCATGACCCAGGTGGAGGGCCATGAACAGAGGACACTCAGGTGTCATGTCTGGACACCAGCTCACCAGGCTTAGCTCAGAGGTGTTAGCTGTCTAGGAAACTCACTGTTAAGTGGAAGAGCTAAGCTGGGAGGATGGATGAAAATGAATGCTCACTGCTCTTGGGCCTTAGGGCCTCTCCCTCCCTGGCAGCCTTGGGAACTCTGCCATTCAGAAAGGCCCGGAAGAGGAAGCATACATCCATCTACAACTTCTTTCGTGAGCCCTTAGTCCTCAGGCTCAGCCCTCCCTGCCTGACTCCCGGAGCCTGTGGAGAGAGGCTCTGAAAGCTCACACTGTACTTGAGATAACCCAGAGCAGGCTTCAGAAACTTTCCTCAACAGAGCAGTCGGATAGCCCCGGCCAGGGTGCGGGAGGCAACCCCATTGATGTTTTTCAAAGCAATAAACATATACTTGGGTGAGGATTAAAAAAAAAGAGCAACCAAATAGCGTTTTCCTTAAGGCCACAGAGTCTTTAGGGAGATCAGAGATGGGAGGGATGGAAGTCATTTTACAATACTTATTTGCATATATTATGAAAGGCATTCCAAACATTCAGCATGAGAAACAGAGGGCTAGCTACTGTATTCTGAATACATTCTGTAACACTTAGAAAAACGTATGTGCAAACATCTCAAATCCTGACATCGGTACACATTTTGGACTATGAAAATATAAATGCTACTTTGTAAATAGCTCAAAGGATTAAAAATGGATGGGTATATATTTATGGCCACAGATGAAAGATGGCTAGACTTTGTAGTTTAGAAGACCCATGGTCTCTTTAGAACTTAGAGATCGTCACTGGTGGGTAAATGAGGAGGCTCTGGACATACCGGTTATTAAATGTTAATGTGGCTGGAACCTGGCTCCTGAGTGACATGCAAATATCAGTTCTCAGGCCACCTGAGCCTGCGGACTGGAGTCTCACAGGACTGAGAGGAGCTGAGCCGTCAAGTACCCGCCGACAAGATTGGCTTGTCTGTTGTAGAACATTAAGTACTTTTCTATATACAGTTGAGTGTCTCCCAGGAAAAGGTGAAATACATTTAGAAAGTGTGTCAGGTAGACTTTTAATTAATCACCGACAGCAGTCTTTTGCCTGTTGCGTATTTGCTGTGCCAGGTACACATGAAGAGCTTTTAGCCTCCCCACTATCCTGTAGCGCAGGCATTTTTTCCTCCCCACTTTAAAGCGTAGGAACCGGAGGTGGAGAGCAGTTGCCTGGCTAATAAGTGGTGGTCCTGAGGCGGGAAGCCTGGCAGAACTCATGCTGAATTGTTCAGTCTTAACCGTTAGGCCAGATGGCCTGGCACCCTCCTGACATTGCCTCGGATTAGAACAAATGGGAAGCGTATCCAAACACAGGTATTTATCCCAGTGACCTGGCGGCTCATTCAATCTGTAGACGTGCCGTGGAACCAAAGACTCAAATAATTTGGTATAAATTAGTTTGCCTTTCAGCAGCTTCAGTTTGAGAACCTTTGTCTGAATCCAGTGCACTGAGCAGAGCAGAACTTGAACTTCGGTTTAAGCCAAATGCTCGAGATAATTAACAAAGCTGCTTAGGCCAGTTCTAGGAAAAAACAACACTGTAGCATCCAGCATGATGCAATCTGAGCTGCGGCTGCCTTTGCTGTGGTTCTTACACAAAGCACCTACTGACATCACCGTCACCCAGGGTGCAGAACCACCCTGGGCAAGGGAGTTCGCCCTCGCGAGAATCCAAGCCAGGCACTTACAGCTCGGCAGATTTCTCTGCCCTCTGGCTGGCGGGCAGGCGGGACTCCTGCTGCGTGTGTGCAAGCAAATGCAGCCCTTGGCACTCTCCCGGGAAACCCAGAGTTTTGGCTTTACACCCAATCTGACAAGAAAGGATCCCCCCTCTCCCCCCTCAAACCATTGCCAGGGAGACGAATTCTCATCAGCCCCACATCCGGAGTGGAATCTGGAAAACCCAGTTCAGAGCTTTTGAAGAAGCTGGTCAAGGGTATTTTAGCAGCAAATTCTAAAGTATTAAGGGCCATGGATAGGGAAAAGGAAGCTCGGGAGGCCCTTTCAAAAATATGTTTGTAACCCAAGTAATGGATGTCCACTACAGAAAACTACAAAAATATAGATAAGAAAAAAATAGAGCCTGAAATGGGATCCTGTTTTGTTGTACACTAAGTCTAGTTTAATGTTGGGGCGGGGGGGGGGGGGGGCGGCAAATTGAATAAGGACAAAAGTTGCTACGAACTTGAGTTTTCCACTAGAATGTGTAAGGGGAGGTAACTTGTCCATACCTCTCTCCTTTTAAAAATTGCTAATACTATTAGCATTAAAGAAAATTACAAGTAAACAGTGCGCAGCTGTGCAGAAATAAGAGTTGTCAGGTTGTCCTAAGGTGGTGAGGCTTGTTTCTTGGTTCGTGGCGGGCGCACCTAGCCACCCTGCTGGAAAAAGTCAGGTGACACCTGAATCAAAAACTGTCTCTGCTTTCTTTCTCAGACACCAAATGGATTGCTCCTGACCCCGAGTCCACTGCTCTCCAGCATACATTTCTGGAGCAGCCTTAGTCCGGTTGCTCCACTGAGTCCTGCCCGGCTGCAAGGGCCCAACACGCTGTTCCAGGTGAGTGTTTGGAAAAGAACTTATACACAATGCACGTCTAAGAGGTATGCTCCCCAATAAATCCTGCAGAGGTAGCAGTGAATTCTGCTCTGTGTTTCGTTAAAATGTTAAGTTTCCAAAGGGAGTTTCGTTAATGGGGCTGCACACAAAAGACAGCCTTCAAAGGCAGGCATTTCCTTTGGGGCAAAAATGGAGTACTCAGGCCAGATAGTCATAAATGGAAGGAACGATGCCTTTGTGCATTGTTCTGGAATTTTCATTGACTAGGAAAACTGGAAATTTATTAAGGAAAAGGCAAAACTTTAAAAATTATATCTTATAAAAATCTCATAATACTTAAAAATATTACTGTATTAGTCAACAGTGAGATCACTTAAAATAAAAAATAGTGAACAATTTTTTTCCATGCTACAATAGAAAAGTTATCTGTATAATTCCATGATACATAATCAAGTTCTCCTTGTTCCATAGTAAAAAAAAAAAAGGAGTATGCAGGGCATTTGATTAAAACTAAGTCTTAGGGCTTTATCTTGTGAAACTCCCTGAACTAGGTAAGCACTTTCATTATTCATTAACAAACTAGGATCTTGCAGTAGCATCACTTGTTATCAAGTGGAAATCACTATTTCCTCTTTGAGATCCAGGCTGTTCCTCACTGACCAAGATATTACTGTTTGAATATGTGAGTGAAGAACAGAAAGGATCCTAGGGACAGGAATGGAGCAAACTGGACAAAGTGCTAGCTCCCTCTTTACCTAATTCTAGCCTCACCTGTCTCATCCACCCTGCACCCCATACCTGCCCCTAGTGTGGCTCACCCAACGTCAGTTACAGCTCTTCTGATCCTGTTGCATCTGGCACTCACCAGTTAGCACTATGATAGACTGTGGGCCCTCAGGAGGCCATAACTGTACCTTGCTCACTGTGGCGTGCCACCAGCATCTAGCACATTGCGTGGCGCACAAACGATGCTCAGTAAGTATTGTTGACTGACTGAATGGATGGATGTCTAAGAATTTGTTAAGAAAGTAAGTGTTAAAAAGTTCAGGTCTCCCTGCTTTGTTGAGTGGGTCATTTTGCTTGTCAGGGTTAATAGTTACCTCCTTGGTGCAAGGAGCTGTACATAGTGGGATTTAGGGTGTTCTTTGAGGAAGGGTGGAGCTAGGGTGGTTTTGATTGCTATCTTGCTTCTCTGGTTTCCTAGTCGGGAGGAGGTAGAGTGTCACGATGTCACCATATCCCTGGAGTAATAAGGTTTCTCTTCCTGGCCCTTCTTCCCGTTACATGAAATTGAGCTATGGTTTTGCCAACAGGTTGATTCATAGCCATTTTACCTCAGGCAGGGAAACAAACTAGAAAAAGCAAGCAAACAGCAGTGAGCAAATGTAGTTTCAGTAAGTTTAGATGAGCAACTTGATGGAAAGCTAAGACCTTGCTTCCTGCAAGCAGTTGGAGCAGCAGTGTCTCGGGTCAGAGCTCCGGAGTAAAGCAGAAAGGAGTTGCGTGGTCTGTGTGCAGTGCCCTCCACGGCAGCATGGGCTGCAGTACTACTCTAACCTGAGACTCCGACGTAGGGCCTCTGTGGGACTCAGTAGATGTCTGTAAGGAATAGACTCTCACTTCCCTCCTTACTGGAAAGTCTGCCACCTGGTTGGTGCAGGGCATGGTAACCTCCCAAGGAAGCCGTGGGAAACTATTACTTGGGAGTTCTTTGGCATATCTTGCCTGCTTAGATACTAAACCTTTTCTAGCCCATACTCCCCACAGGAACAATGGGTCGTGTCCTCAGAGATTTTGTGCATTATCAGCATATCTGCTGCTCCAGGAACCACACTTGGAGAACCACTGCAGACCAGTCATTCCTATTTACATTTAGAATTCTGCAGAAACTGCTGCATTTTAAGGCTACCTGCTCACAATTTCAATTTTACAAAATGCACCTGCCCCCTCTTCTGCAGCTGTTCAAACTGCATTGGGCAAAAGTACATTTACAGTTGTGCATACACAAAAGTTTATTCTTGTATTATTATTTACTGTATTATTTTCCATACAAATGGTAAACCTACTTTTGCCCACCTCTGTACAACCCATGCAACCATGATTGGATGGCTGACAGGGCCTTGGATCCTCTTTTTGGTTTGGGTCCATGAGACTAAGGAAAAACCTTTTCAAATATTATTACTCTTCCTGTAATAAGAGCAGTTGAGTATGGGCTAGAAAAGGTTTAGTATCTAAGCAGGTAAAAGTTGACATTAGCAGTTTTGAATATAGTAAAGAACAAAACGTAGTGAGAGGAATAATACTTTTTTGGGGGGAGAATTTTTATAAGAGTTTGAGCCAAACATGACATATGCCAGGGAGCAAGATCTCAAATGCTCCCTATACTTTGATTTTTAAAATTAGACACTTCAAATGATAGATTCTCAAAATTCCCATGAGTATCAACAGTGTCTCTTTTCAACTAATGGAAATAATTTTCTTTAAAAATAACAATCCTCTTTCACATATGCTATAAATGCGTGGGAGGAAGAAGAAAAAATACAGTTAAGTCTTAAATGGCGCTGGCAAATTTCCTGCTGTGATGATTAGAAAAGTAGATCAGAATCCGTAGAGTGACAGATGACAGAGCTGATAAGTCTTTGCACAGAAGGTCCCCTGATAGAATTGTTATAGCAGATACTGAAGAATTGAGGGGAAGGAGAGAAGGTATCTCCCTTCCTGGGAGAGGCAGGCTTTGTAATCGAGACATGTCTTGGAGAGAGAGGACAAAGACATGTTGTGTTAAATCTAAAAATACAAACCTGATGTACAAATAAAGTGACATCAGTTTCAACTGGACAGTTTAGCATTTTACCTTTGTCTGTAGGATGTCTGTTCCATTTTTGAAATAGATGTTGATCAAATTTAGAATAAGTCAACCAAGTACAAATAGATCTTGAGACAAGGTGAAGCTAATTAACTTTTCACTGAGATTGTTTTCTGTAATTTTAAATTCAATAAATATAACCCAGCAAATATTTGTAATGCTCTGAGGCAGGGACTTAGGGTTTATATAGTATGTGAATAATAAATGTGTAAACAAAGTTCTATAAGAACCCAACAATAATAGCTCTTTCCTGCTGGGTAGTGGACAAATGCTCCAAGGAGGTGCACCTGAGCTAAGCTAAGAAGGGATAGGATTTTATCAGAGTAAAGCACATTTTAGATTAATAGAGCTTTTCAATATGGAAGTACACAGTCTGTTCAGGAAAGTACTGGGTAGTAGGAGTCAAGATTGGAAAAGCAGCTGTGGGACTTGAATAGTATGCTCAGGAGTTCCTACCTTAATTTCTTAAGTGATAATGGAAGTCTTTTAAAGCTGGAGGTAGTAAGACAATCTCTAGAAAGATCACTAAGTGATTAAAAAGTGCTATTAATAACAGTAGTTAACATGTACTATATACCAGACATAAGCACTTTTTGTGGCTTCTCATTTAATACTCAAAACAGTAATATTTAAAGAAATTAAGGCCCAGAGATGTTGCTTCCATTTACCTAGATCACATGTTATTAAGTGGCAAAGCTCTAAGTTAAGTTTAGGGTTGTACTACTCATAACCACCATCCTCACTGACTTAAAAGCACACACAGAAGAGCAAGTTTTGTAGGGAAGAGACATTGGTGGTACTTCTAACAACAGGAAATGATTGCTAAGTCCAGTATAAGAGAAAAGTTTGAGGAATGTTGCAAATTTAAGAAAAGGGACAAGGGGGTAGGTTTAGCGCCAATAAAAATGGCTATGACACATACCAGAAAAGGCAGGCGAACCAAGAGAAACTGTGACAACTGAGCATATAGAAATAAAGAAAAAAGGGCAGAAATCACGAATATATTTTTAAAAACAGAGACTAACCCAAAAGCTGACTCTTTTGAAAACACCAGTAAGATGGACAGAACCACTAAGAGGTACAAATAAATTAAGAGAATGAAAATTCAAAACCTCTTTTTCCAATGTTTACCTGAGTCAGCGATTTTCAACCAGTATGATGCAAGAATTTTTAAAGCATCAAGACGTGGCTAGTGAGGGGCAGGCACTGACCTCTTTTCCCTTAGGTTGTCTAATAAAATGACAAGAGCCAATACAACAGTAGCCGTCCAGTGTGAATGAATCAAAATTGTATCTTTTTTTTGGAGTACCGCACGATTTTACTAATTAAGATAGTTTATGTGTGTCATGAGATGATAAAGGTTGAAAATCGCTGCTCTAGGTGGGATCAGTGGTTAGGAACACAGATTTGCAAGTAGATTTTATAACGCAGTTGAAATGGATCAAATTCTATAAAAAACCTAAAATCAGAAAACAAAAACCTATATATGCCAATAACCATTGAAGAAACTGAAACAGTAATTAGACAACACTCCCCTCCTCAAGCCCTACAAAAAACAAATTGGGCGGTTTGGCACAGAAAGTTTAAAACTTAGCTTTACTGCTTATTACCTATGACCTTTAGCCAATTCCGAACTTTTCTGAACTCTTTGTTTTCTCCATAAAATGGGGAAAACCAAACTTAACCTTACAGGCTCTAGATAGCAAATGAAATGACAACCTTTGATAAACTGTAAGGCACCAGACGCATTGTCACTAAAATAGCTTGAAAATTACGAAAGTACATTTACTTGTTCTACAAATATTTATTGTACTTCTAATGTGTACCGGACTCTATAGTTTGATATTTAGTGTTGAAGTGAAGTTTAATATTAAATTCCTATTAAGTCCTGATAAATTAAACTAGAAGAGGGCCCGGGAGATCATTCTGACACATGTCATCCTAGACAATGAACATCTAGTTGAAGCCTTTAATTATTCTTGTTCAGTTGGAATATAGTTGTTGTACTTCTTTCAGACCTGAAAGTTATCAAAGCATATATACCTTTATCCTGTTTGTCATCTTAGTTACCAATAATACTGAAATTAACTTTATTCTTTAAGTTTCATCATGTATGGGTGACCTAGCTGTGAAGTTTGATATTATGCTTTTAATTAGAAAGAATACTTTCTCAGCCCCCAAATAAAGAGAGTCTTGCTCTCTAAATCTTTTAAGATAAAAACATTCCTCATTTTTAATAGTTACAGGGAAGCAACTTTGTAGTACTCTGGAAAGTTTATGGCTAATTTCAAATTACAGGATTAGAAATTACTGCTTTATATGTAAAGAGTCAGTTGTGGTTTTCAAAATTAATTTTTTAAATATTAAAGCAAATCAACATTCTATGTAGCTTGGAATCTTTTTGTTGTTAATCCTCAACCAAGGATTATTTTCCCATTGACTTTTTGACAGAGTGGAAGGGAGGGGGAGACACAGAGAGAGACACATTGATTGGTTGCCTCCCACACGCACCCCAACCAGGGATGGGTATCCAGCCTGCAACTGAGGTACATGCCCTTGATCAGAATCGAACCCAGGACCCTTCAGTCCACGGGCTAGCGCTCCAACCACTGAGAAAAACTGGCTAGGGCAGTAGCTTGGAATCTTTAAAAAAATAGTGTTAGAACATAGTTCAACAAATGAAGTACATATTTTATATACCTAGGCTACTATGAAAAAATAATTTTCTGTGCCCTTCTGTTTGCTGTACATAATCCTGATCTCATTGTCCTCTTCCAATTACTCATTTGCAACTTACCTTTATCACAGCGATGATGACAGAACTGCGCCACTACAGTCTATCTAGGAATGTAAAGAACTTAAGTTCTTCCCAATAGATTTGTAATTGTTGAAAAATCTTTTGTCCCCACCAGTTCCCAACACTGCTCAATGGCCACATGCCAGTGCCAATCCCCAGCCTGGACAGAGCTGCTTCTCCAGTACTGCTTTCTTCGACCTCTCAGAAGTCCTGATGACATCTGGCCACAATGAAAGACTCATTCACTGATGAAGCAAATTTGTCCCCATGGGCTAGTTTACCTGTGTCATGAGAAGGACTTTGTGAAACCCTGTTAATTTGGTTTGCACTTTTCATAACATGGATGGTCTAGATATGTTAGCATTTTTAAAACTTTTTTTTTATATTCAAGTATATATGAAAATCTGTTTTGCATTAAGTGAATTTTAATGTTTTTGTTTTTATATCCTCTTAGCTCTTAAGTATTGAACACTGTTGACAGTGAAGAACTTTTCTTAATGGCTTTCAGTGTAACTAATAAGGATGTGAAGCTTTTTCGCTTTAATTCTGCATATGCTGAACTGCTTATACACTATAACCAGCTGTGCCTTCCCTTGCATTTAGTTTAATGTAAATGATTTATATATTTTTTAGAGAAAATGTTTGAAAGACAAAGATTAGTATCAAACAGCTCTCTAGTAGAATTTCATTATTTTTCACAAGTAGGCAATATGAAAGCATATTCATATTACTTTTTCTCTTTTGCTTTCAATTATAAGAATTGCCTTAGAGCCTCTTTTGAACTGAAATTCAATAAATGTAATGTCCAAGTAATGTTTTTATAAGAAAAAACTAAGCCATATTTAGACAATAAACATTCATGAAAGAAAATGTTCGAAAGTGCATTTTTAAAGAAAGGAACTTTGAAAGGCTAGCCTCCCAGCTGTTTACAATCTTTAGACTCCTCCCAAACAAAACCACCTGATGGAAAAGCTACCAGTTTATTCTATCCATACCCCTGGAGTATTTCTGAGGTTAGCATATTCTTAGTTCAAGAAATTAGCCCTGGTTCCCCCCGTTTTCCATAAAGAATCACACCCCTCCAATACATTTCCTATATCATCATGAGGAAAGGTTTCTCTAAACCCCCTGAACTATTAACATTTAAAAAGCCTATCCTTTGAAAGAGGCTCACAGACTCGTGATGAAAACAAACAATGAAGAAACAATCTTGTAATACCAGGTATCTTCTTGTGTATGGGTATAGCCTTGCTTGTGGAAACCTAAGAGGTTATTGCTAAATTTAGGGTGAGAATGAAAGAAACCTGATGCAACAAATAAAAGATTCTTCAGAAACCTCATCAATGTTGAATTGATTATGTAACAATGTGGAACACTAAACAGTAATTCTTTTGTGTAGTGGAGTTGAGAGCAGGGACAATAGGAATGTATTTTCTGTTCCTTCAAAAAATCAGCAGGCACCCATCTAAGGCATCTTTCTGTACATTATGAAAGTTCTAATGGTAAGAGAACTGGAAAGTGCCCAGTGCATGCAATTCAAGATCAGATTAATTATCATCCTTAACTATAAGTAACAGAAACCAATTTAACATGTGTCTAAATAATTAACTGCTCCAAACCAGGCATTAAATAGCAGGGATAAATAAAACAAAGCTTGTAAAAACACATTCCTTGGATTTTCAAAAATATCTAAAATTCTGTTATGATATAAATGTTGAGATTTTCTCGTGGAATTGAGCATCTCTATGTGAGGGATGTATGCCCTTATTTGGAGGAAAACCCCAAACATTCCAATATGCATCTTTGAAAATAAAATAATGGGGTTGATTCCAGAATCCACAAACAGACACTACTGTCATGGGCTAAGGATAATTCTGTACAAAATAGCTGGTCCAGCTGATACTTACTGAGAATGCGTCCTACCCAGGTTTCCAGATGCGGACAGTTGCACAGGAGAAGCTGCCTAAGGCCACATAGCTCATCGGAGGTAACAGTGCCCAGTGCCCAGTCCAGTTCTGCTTCCCCATCTCAGCTGTAACTACCAATCCAAAACTATATGTTAGGCAAAAAAACAGCATTAAAAAACTGTCAGATAAGAGAAGGATGCACTCCAAATGCAAGAGTCTTAGAGAAACTAATTAAAAAGGAAGTCCTATGTACAAATATCACAACCAAAATATTTTTAAATGTAAATACTGACTGGAAAATTCAAATGACTATCTCTGATTCTTGTATTCCCTTCCTCCAAATACTATAACATACAACCTAGCTTCATTTATTGGAAATGGGAAAATACCGTAATTCAAAAACTCACTATAACACAAATAGAGAACTAGAGGTATTGAAGTATAACCCTTAAAGCTCTGCCTCATTCTACATGTGTGTGTATGTGTGTGGTTTGTTTTTTTTAATCAACTATTTTAGACAATAGGTTTCACAGAACATATTAAATTTTTTCTTCCTTTTTATATGTCTGCTTGATCAGTGTTAAATTGCTAAGGCTCAAGTTTTATAAAACTATAATCTAAACATTGGTCTCTTTGTACACATCATTTCTCTGACTGCAAATCTTCATTCCCTTTCATATATGTATCATTTTTACTGTTATATTATTTTTGTTCAATAAATACTTTGTGATAAAAGGCAAGTGGGTCAGTTTACTTCCATTTATTTGGGATAATCCAAATTTCACTTTTCCATGAGTACACTTTAGAAAATGAGTTGTCATCTAGACTTAAATATGGTATATTATCAAAATATGCTATGTATATGTAATCTGCTTTGAACAGATACTTAAGGAAACAAAATTATTGAAAATGAATTGGAGAGAAGGAAATGGGTTTAAAAAATGTCCCCTGATCTTTAAAATCTTAAGTTCTAGCAACTGTTCTATATTGAGATGGAGGAGGGGGAAAAATTACCCATTATTCTTGTAGCTACAACTTGTATCATACTCAATGGTTAAAGACTGAAATCTTTCCCCCTAATATTAGGAACAAGATAAGGATATCCTCTGTTGCTGTTTCTATTCAACACAGTACTGCAAGTCCTAGCCTGAAGGGAGAAAGAGGGGAGAGAAAGAAAAAAAACACAAAACATCCAAATGAGAAAGGAAGAAATAAAACTATTTATAGATATCTTATATGTAAAAAACCCTAAAGAATCTACCAAAGAAAAGTTAGAGCTGATAAACTGAGCAAAATTGTAGGATACAAAATCAACATGTAAAAATAATTTGTATTTCTACATACTAGCAACAAAAAACCTGAAAAATTTAAGAAAACCATTCTAGCTACAATATCCTATATAATAGAGGAAATATGCAAATTGACTGTCACACCCTCACACAAGATGGCTGCCACAAGATGGCTGGCAGGGGAGGGCAGTTGTGGGCGATCAGGCCAGCAGGGGAGGGCAGTTAGGGGCTACCAGGGCAGCAGGGGAGGGCAGTTGGGGGTGACCAGGCCTGCAGGGGAAGGCAGTTGGGGGTGATTGGGCTGGCAGGGGAGCAGTTAGGTGTCGATCAGGCTGGCAGGGGAGTGGTTAGGGGGTGATCAGGCTGGCAGGTAGAAGTGGTTAGAGGCAATCAATCAGGCAGGCAGGCAGGCAGGCAGGCGAGCAGTTGGGAGCCAGCAGTCCTGGAATGTAAGAAGGATTCCTGTGGGATCAGGCCTAAACCAGCAGTTGGACATCCCCAAGGGGTCCCAGATTGGAGAGGGTGCAGGCTGGGCTGAGGGCCCCCCACCCAGTGCACGTATTTCATGCAGCGGGCCTCTAGTCAAATATAATAATGAATGAATTTAATCAAGACGACACAAGACTTGTACACTGAAAACTATGAAACATTGCTACAAGAAATTAAAGACATCCTATGTTCATGTATTAGAAGACAACATTGTTAAGATCCAAAGTGGGTACCTACAGATTCAATGCAATTCCTATTACAATCCCAATGACATTTTCTTTTTCCAGAATAAAAAAATTTCATCCTAAAATTTATATAGAATTTTAAGGAACCTCAAGAGTCAAAACAATACTTATATGAACAAAAACAATTCACACTTCTTGATTTCAAAACTTACAAAATCACAAGTAATCAAAACATTGTACATGCAAAGAACAGAGATTTAGACCAACAGAATAGAATAAAGAAAGTCAAAATAAGCCCTCACATCTATGGTCAATTGATTTTCAACAAGAGTGCCAAGACCAGAGAGAAAAGAATAGTCTTTTCAACAAATAGTGCTGGGAAAACTAGATATTCACATGCAGAAGAATAAGTTGGGCCTACTTGACACCATATACCAAAATTAATTAAAAATGGATTAGGGCTCTAAATGTAAGCAGTAACAGTATAAAAACCTTAAACAGGAAAATATTCATGACCTTGGATTTGGCAATAGTTTCACAAATATGCCACCAAAAGCAGAGGCAACAAAAGAAAAATAGATACACTGGACTTCATTAGAATTAAAACTTTTGCACACCAAAATGACACCATTAAGAAAGTGAAAGACAATCCACAGACTGGAAGAAACTGCAAATCATATACCTCATAAGAGTCTAATACAGCCGTGGGCAAACTACAGCCCGCGGGCCGGATCCGGCCCATTTGAAATGAATAAAACTAAAAAAAAAAAAGACCGTACCCTTTTATGTAATGATGTTTACTTTGAATTTATATTAGTTCACACAAACACTCCACCCATACTTTTGTTCCGGCCCTCCGGTCCAGTTTAAGAACCCATTGTGGCCCTCGAGTCAAAAAGTTTGCCCACCCCTGGTCTAATATGTAGAATATACAAAAAAACTACAACTCAACAACAAAAAGGTGACACAATTTAAAAATGGGCAATGGACTTGAATTCACATTTTTCTCCAAAGCAGATATACAAATGACAGATGAAAAGATGCTCAACATCAATAGTTACTAGGGAAATGAAAAAACCAAAGTTCCCATTAGAATGAATCTATATATATAAAAGCCTAAGCGACCGTTATGACTAGATGACCAGCCAGTAGCTATGATGCACACTGACCACCAGGGGGCAGACACTCAACGTAGGAGCTGCCCCCTGGTGGTCAGTGCGCTCCCACAGCCAACCTCCCACGAGACGGCCCTGATCAGCCCAATCACTGGCCAGGCCAAAGGACCCCACCTGCGCATGAATTTGTGCACCAGGTCTCTAGTACAACAACAACAACAACAAGTGTTGGCGACTGATGAGGAGAAATTGGAACTCTCACATTACCATTGGGAATGTAATATAGTGTAGTTGCTCTGGAAAACAGTTTGGCAGTTCCTCAAAAAGTTAAACATAGAGTTACTAAGTAACCAAACAATTCCAATCCTAAGTATATAAACTCAAAGAATTTGGTAAACAAGGACTCAACAAAAGTTTCCAATGTCCACAGCAGCATTATTCACAGTAATCAAAAGGAGAGAAAAACCCAAGGTCCATCAACAGATGAATGGATAAACAAAACATCGTATATTCGTATCAGAATATTATTCAACCATGTAAAAAAGAATTTCTGAGATGCTACATCATTAAACCTTGAAAACATTATGCTAAGTGAAACAGGTCAGATACAAAAGGATAAATACAATATGATTCCACTTTTATGAAGTATCTAGAATATGCAAATTCATTAACAAAAAGTATATTTGAGGTTACTAGGGACTTGGGGTATGGGAAAAATGAGGGCTTATTTAATGGGTACAGAGCTTTTGTTTGGAGTGATGAAAATTTTGGAAATAGTGGTAATTGCTGTACAATATTGTGAATCTAATGCCATTGAACTGCATATTTATAATGAGTAAAAAATGGCAACTTTTTTGTTATATGGATTTTACCACTATTAAAAAG